TTTTGTTTTAAGAATTAGCAAACGTTGAATTTACTTGTCCCGAAAATTCAAACTGGTGGCTCCTTCTACCTGATAGTAATTTATTTTTGAAATTCCAAAACAATTTCACAGCTGAATTTTGAGCGACTTTTAGTTACGGACTTCTGCTCCAACGATTTTTCTGAAATTCCGCTGGCATATTTATTATATCAATTAAAGCCGATACCAGAAATTTCAGTAAAAAATATCAGCAAAATTTTTTACTAGACGCGATTTTCTTTGAACATTAGGGTCCTTTTAAGCGCTAATTTCTCAAGAAATATTTACCATCAATGAAATCGGAATATTTCGTATTATTGCCGAATGATATCTGTTGTTCTTTGCAAAGTTTCGCAGCCATCGCGTTAAAATCGAAAAAGTTATGACGGAAAATTTGTCACAGCTAAATGCTCTTGTATTAATTACGGAGCCACCTTAAACAAGTCCCATAATTGAAAGGTATCGTACAACGCAATTTTCTAATTGCCGTTTTGTTAATGTAGTTTATTATATGTTTTAAGCCACGAGATAGGATAACACCTACTCATGTTAACACTCACCGAACCATTTTTGAGACATGACTTGTGTTTGCTTCGCCCGCTTATGAATTTTGAGGTACCTGATAGCAAACATATCAAGTTGTTGAGCCGCTACCAATATGTTGATGCTATTATCTTCAGGCGGATCGTTCTTTAAGCTTTCGAAAAAAGTGTTGCTAATCTTGGCTGCTTCCTAAAGAAAGTAGAAATATCAGTGCTTTGAGATACCACTTCGTATAGAATAATGGTGAAGTCATTCTGCATTCTGATACTGAATACATTTCTTTAAAATTCAGACTCTTTAACTGTTTTGTACATGTCGCGGTTCAGTTTTATCCTTGGTTTAGATTTTATCTCCCTTTGTTTTAAATTCATTATCACAATTTTACCTTACCCCCAAACAAAGGGAAATAAAGATTGAACGAAGGATAAAATTGAACCACAACATATATAGTAACAGTACCTATTAGGTGGGGTATTGAGCATGATATAAATAATTAAAGAGGAGTCGAGAAGGGTGGACCAAGGTGGATGAAAGCCCCCCAGATCTGCACAATTCTTCATGTCACACGAAAGCCAAATTCAATAATCATGGTTAAATTATTCGTCCAAATGACAAATTCGCCTGTTTCATATATGAACAGGTAGTCGTCCTCACAAAGTATAATCATTCATCCAAACTTCATTTTTTTACATAGTTGTTCCGGTCAGTATTACTCTGGCCTCGGCTTACATGACACGCGAAAGGAACAATTTATACGAGGACGTCTTAACATAAGACGCAAACTGCTCGTATAAGAATAGTTAAAGGTTTAGTTCGCGGCCAAATCCCTCCAACGATGACGAAGTTTCTTTTTTTGCCTCGCGTATTTTGCAACAATGGCTTTTAATAAGCGAGCAAAAAAGGCGGAAAGACTTTGGTCTGGAAAATCGCCTCATTTTACACTGTCTTTTCGTTTCAGATTAAGTTTAGTGTTGGGTTGTTGCAAAACTTGTGCAGAAACATCGGCGATTAATGGAGTGGTCAAGTGTTTTATACTCCCTTAAAGCACGGTTTTTGAACCAATCAGAGTGCGCGCTATATCTGAACATTATAATAATACTATAATTATTTTAATGTGAACAGCGTACGAGTCTGTAATTTCTGAGAGAAAAGAAATCGGTATTACCTGTAAGGAGTCTTCCCTGCTGACATTGAGGTCCTGCATCCGCGATTCATATTGACGCGACTGCCACACAATTGACATTTACTAGTTTACCGAATGGTCGATGCAATCTACTAAGCAGTTCAGTCTTGGCTAATAATAAGACTGAACATGAAACCCTGACCAATGATTTATCTATAGTGAACTCTCTCCAAAACAAAAACCTTTGTTACCGGCACTAAGTGTCCGTCTTAGAGAGAGACAAAAAAAGAGATAAAGAAAGCCAGGGAAAAATTGAAGGCGTCCATCCTATGCGACTGTGCACAAGATAACAGGCCCTTATCTTCTCTTGCTGTGGATGAACCAAATAAACGGATGTGTGATCACACTGGATTTACCTCAAGAACTCTGATTGCTGCCTACCGCAGCATCGCTACACATTTGAACCTCCGTTAAGCGGCCACTCTCGGGATCCCAATAAGTGCCAAGGCCGTTTATTAACTCTCGAACGTGCAAGGGGCGGGGACTGACCCCCCTCTTGGGTTTTTCGTAAATTTTATCAAAAGGATTTTATCTGAGCATTTTTCCATTTCAGTAGCTGTTTGTTTATCTTTGAGACATATATTTGCCGCCATTACATGTTAGATGACGTCACTGACCCCCACTATATGAAGTGCCTCATTTGCATATTTATTCCATAATAAACACCATTTTGTAGACGACATAACTATCTATCTCTTAAAAGGGTAGAAAATTCTCAAAATATCGCAACGTAATGAAAACGCCCGAGGCCCATTGGCCTGTCATGTAGCTCGTTAGGGGTAAGAGTTTAGCTGTATGCTCGAGGGTTAATAGATACGCGGTTGTCCATGGAACGTCATAAAATAGAATAATCTTTTACAGAAAAACACTATTAATATTAAAGAATAAAATAAAAGGAAGAAAAAAATAAAGAAATAAATGATAATGAAAATAGAAGTATCGGCTTAACTGGCTCACAATTAGTCTTCACCTTCATCATATTTTTCAAATAAAGACAAACTAAAATCAAACTAGAAGTAATGACATTCAGTACGCGAACCATGCAGCTTTTCGAAATACGAAAATAGGCAGTCTTGCTCTCCAGTGCGAGGTGGAAAAATTAATTCAGTAAAATTATCCAGGACTAAATGCTTCGAATAAAGACCTGTCCACTTCGGTTCGACTTTTCTCGAGATGTTATGCAAATCAAAGCGCCATTAATGAGAACTAAATATTAAGAAACACTGACCCTCTCTGTAGCGTTCAGTTTCGACGATTGGTTCACGGTTGAAGAGGCTGTACTAAAAAGTGTAGATGAAGTTGCTATTGCCTTTGGTTCTGTGGAAGTTGGTGTTATTTCTGTAGTTGCCACGACTTTTGTTGTTAGTGTTTCAAAATACGACGTCACGTAATCTGTGATGAGATTTACAATTAATAGAAATAAACAAAAACAAAAAAAGAAGAAAATTTTCTTATCAGTGAGCTAGGCTTTTCTCTTTGTGCAAATTGTTCACAGTGTATGTAAGTGGGTGGAGGGATGGGGGAGGCCCTTGTCCCTGCTAAGGTAAGATTAGGTGGGGGGTGGTGGTGTCAACTTGGCCTAATATAGATGGAGTGGGGAAACTGGGCTCCTCTCCTTGATCCACCGCTGCTCCAATATTGTATTTTTAATTGGATTCAGGCAAAACATTAATCGATGTATACGCACTTTCGTAAACTTAAAGACGAAAGTTTGGGTTTACCTGTCTTGGGTGTTGTCAAAGCTGATGTCATTGTAAGCAGCGTTGTGGTTGAAACAGACTTTGATGCTGTTACAGCTGATACAATTGTGGAAAGTGGTGCGCTTGTTTCTATTGAAGTAATTTAAAAGAAAGTTTTAGTAAAAATTAAAACCAATCATGAATCCGGGTTGTTCAAAGTTGGGTGCAGATAACCCAGGGTTAGTGGGTAATATCAAGAGACTATAAAGGGGACAGAGAGGGCATCCCGCATATACACCCTATTCCATAGGTAATTCGTCTCGAGTTATTTTTTTAAACACCACAGATCCCAAGGGGGATTAGACAACAGCCAATCACATAGCGCGAATGTGTTCCGCGTGGATGACCCATGCTGAGAGCCACGCTTCCTTCACGAAATGATGCAGAACAAAGTGGGGGAAGACGGGGAGAGCGAGTTTGAAGATAGCAATTTCTGGTTTGATGTTTATTTTTTTCAGTCTTTATAGCGATTATTCCTACCCACTTACTTTGTCAATTGTAGGCGAACGCTCCTAAAGCTGAATTTCAAGGGACCATATTCAAGCTCAGAAAGAGAAATAAAATTTCGTCGTTGCTTATTTACGTCCTCCATAACACGCGAAAATAAGCATTTTCACGTCGTAGTCGTGCAAAAACGGGAAAGAAATGAACAAAAAAGTGTGTTGCAGGTGCGAAGTTGTTGTTTTGCTAATTAAACCTATTGTTTTTTTGACGTTCTAGTTGTCGTCCGCGTCGTTGGATCTTAAACTCCCTAAATTGTACAAACGACCGGTTTCAATAGACCGGCGAAATTTCTCATTTTATTAAAGCACTGAGGTTACGACAACTTCGAGTTAAACTGACTTCACGGGTTGTCAAAGAGTCCAGCGATTCCTTTTTCCCAGGTGAGCGCCGAGTCATTTCGCTTCAATATTCAGGAATGCTCTCGATCTTTTTACGCTTTCTTTGCCTCTCGCCCGACATGTTTTGCACGGCGTTTGGTCATGCGAAACCTCCACGAAACATCCACGCCTCGCGCGAGGTAACTTTATCCCGGTTCTAAAAATAACTCGAGACGAATTACCTATGGAATAGGGTGTATATGGGGGATGCCCTCTCTGTCCCCTTTATAGTCTCTTGATAATATATATGAATTTAATTTAGGTGTAATTATTGAGACATGCAGCTTAATTTTAATGAGCATATTGATAATCTATGTAAGAAGCTAACACAGCGTATTGCTGTTTTGAAAAAAATCAGGCGTCATTTACCTTTAGATCAACGAATTCTTTATTACAATGCCATGATAAAACAAACCATAATGAATGGCTCTAGTGTGTGGGTTTCTACATCTGTTGATAATTTAAATAAGGTCTTCAGGCTACAGTAGTGTGCTGCAGGCGTTATTCTCAATGCTGTTATTAGAACAAATAGTGTAGATCTGTTTAGGGAACTTAATTGGCTATCTTTTTCATGAAGCTAAGATTAATCAGTGCGCATTACTTTATAAACGTTTGAATTGGGTGTGTCCCGATTATATGCTAGAATTACTCAAACGAAACTTCGACATACTTTTTACTGAAAGACAAAATAGATATGGGTCTTTGAATTTAATTTGTCCAAAGTATAAAAGAGAATCAGAAGGTGCTAGGACTTTTCAAGTGTCAGCCATTAGGTTTTGGAATTCACTTCCCAATAAAATTAAGTGTACATCTAGTATAGAAATTTAAAAGAAATCTTTACGTAAGTATTTTTTGGAGTCCTATAAAGATGTTCATCACTTTACTATAGCTTAGGCTATCCTACTTTATTCTCATATATTTTATATTAATTTTTAGATAATTCATATTTCAATTGTTAAATCACCTTGTTTTAATTACTTCATTATTTATATGTATTTAATTTGTGTTGAGGGCCACGAGTTTATCAGTATTTTATACTGTCAAGTGCCACCCTCGAAAAATGAAGTTGATTATTATTATTAAAGCGTAAAAAGCAAATTCATTTTAATTCTTTTTGGGTTTACCTGGCAGTGGTTGAAGTGTTGTCGAGGCTGATGTCATTGTAAGCAGCGTTGTTGTTGAAACAGACTTTGATGCTGTAACAGCTGATATCACTGTGGAAAGTGGTGTGCTTGTTTCTATTAGAGCAATTTAAAAGAAAGTTTAAGTAAAAATTACAATCAATCATGAATCCGGGTTGTTCAAAGTTGGGTGCAGATGACCTAGGGTTAGTGGGAAATATGAATTTAGATATGAAAGTGTAAAAAGCAAATTCGTCAGTTTTAGTTCTTTTTTAGTACAACTTAAGGTGTTTCGATACAGTTTTTCGGAGACCACACCGATGTTGCCTTGAAAGCAATTTTGTCCTTGTCCGGTTGCTACAAACTTTTCACCAGTGATTGTCTATGAATTGAAGTTTGTCAAAATGCAGTTTCTAGTAAAATCGATATCACTCTGACAACAATAAACAAAAAACTATGAAATCGATAAAACCGAATTTTGCACGATCTAGACCTTTTACTGAAAGGCCGACGGCCAGGAACTTAAAGTGTGCTGTTTAGCAAATACCCTCCGTGAAAAGTAAAAAAATTCTGTATGTTTTAATTCAAATAAAACGCAATTAATATATTTCAGACCTTACATTTTCAATAGCCGTGATAAAATGTGTAATAAAAAAGTTCTAAATAACTGACCAATTAACCTTAAGTAGCGTCAGAAGGCGGTCTAACATCATATTTCGATGCTAGGGAATTTCGGTGTATTATCTTTCTTGCGATCTCATGTCCTGAAAACTAACCTGTTTTCTCACTACCTGTCCGTGTGCAACTTTACTGTAAATTTTGACTTTTAGCGCTTTTCTGAATATCTCTAAAACGGCTCGACAGAATTCTTTTTAAACCTTATCACATAATTTTCATGCTGTAACGCGGATTTTTGGCCATTTTGTAGGGTAGGTTTCTCATGAAATTTCAAGGTGTTGCAGTGAATTAATCTTAATGAAAGTTTCAGACATTGTTATATACATCTAGACTCGTACCCAGTTGCTATTTATGTGTTTTTGGGCTGAGAAAAGATTGGGGGTTAGGTTGAGGCTCGCGGGGTCTCATGGGAAGGTACGAAGGAAAAATAGCGTCGCTTTTTCTTCCTTCGTACCTTCCCATGAGATCTCGCGCGCCTCAACGTAACCCCCAATCTTCTCTCACCCCAAAAACATTATAAATACCGACTGGGTACGAGTCTGATATACATCATGAAGATTATGTGATGAAGTTAAAAATCAATTAGGTCGAGCTGTTTTAGAGATAATACAGAAAAGCGCTAAAACTAAAAATTTAGAATAAAGCTGCACTTAACAGTTGGTGAGAAAACAGGTTAGTTATCAAGACAAAAAAATACACCGAAATTTCCTAGCATCGAAAATGATATTTAGCAGCCTTCCGACTCTACTTAAGATTAATGTGAGTTATTTAGAACTTTTTTATCAAACGCTTTATCACGGCTATTGAAAATGTAAGGTTTGAAATATATTTTTGTTCTATTTGAATTCAAACATACAGAATTTTTTACTTCTCACAAAGGGTATTTGCTAAACACCACACTTCAAGTTCTTGGTGTCAGACTTTCAGTAGCACGTCTAGATCGCGCAAAATTCGGATTTTTTGTTTGTTGTTGTCATAGTGAATAGTCAATTTTACTAAAAGCTGCATTTTGAAAAACTACCATTCATAGTCACTCACTGATGAAAGTTTTGTAGCGATCGGACGAGGGTAAAATCACTTTTAAGGTGATTGAAAAATATCGGTATGGTCTCCCAAAAACTGTATCGAAACACCTTAAAGACGAAAGTTTGGGTTTACCTAGCAGTGGTTTGGTAGTTATCAAGGCTGATGTCATTGTAAGCAGCGTTGTTGTTGAAACAGACTTTGATGCTGTTACAGCTGATATCATTGTGGAAAGTGATGTGCCTGTTTCTATTGGAGTAGTGTAAAAGAAAGTTTAAGTGAAAATTAAAACCAATCATGAATCCGGGTTGTTCTAAGTTGGGTGCAGATAACCAGCGTTAGTGGGTAATACAAATTTTGCTATGAAAGCGTAAAAAGCAAATTCATTTTAATACCTTTTGTGTACAACTTAATGAGAGGAGGCTCTAGGTTATCTGAGAAGATGTGTTTAAACGAAAGAGAAAGAAACCGGGCGTAAAATTTAACGCTGGGTTAACGCTGGGGGATTTTTATCTTAGAAAGAGAGAATTTTAAATTGAGTTACATTAAATATTGACCTTTATCTTGAAGGCTGTTAACAAAAACTTGCGTAAACAAAAAGACTTGCTTTTGTTAAACATACTCAGTTCACAAATAAAATGAAGGTTAGCGTTACAGTTTCTTTTCTTCAGAAACGAATAGTTTCCCTCTTTTTTAACTGAAAAGCAATGACAATTCTTTCCGTTCGACGATGGTATTTTTCCATCTTTAAAAACAGCATCTTTGTCGACTGCAACGTGTTGGGAATCGCACTGGTCAAAATAAAAAGTTTCCTCTTTCTCTCTGAAAAACAAAAACGAAACACATAAAAGTGTTGCCGAAAATTAGTTGTTGCCAACAATGCAAAAACAAAGGAGATGCATCAGCAAAATTTAAACTTCATGCTTGTACAACAACAACAAGGAAACAACAAAACAAAAAAGGAAACAAAAACAAGAGACGTGAGGGTTGTTCTTTTTTTTTGGGAGAGGGGGAAGGGGACATATTTGTAGACAATTTTCCTTCGCTTAAAATACCTAAAGCACAAATTACATTTTTGATTAAAATTTAGCTCTTATTAACCGAGCGCGAGGTCTGTATGGGAGAATCTTGACCGAGCTCGCCAGTACAGACCGAACGCAGTGAGGTCTGTACCAGCGACTCAGCCTAGTCCCTAGGCCTTTTCGGCTCGGTCAATCCTGGACTCTACCGTGAGTTGTGACGTCACCAAGAGAGAGAACGCCTAGGGACTAGGCTGCCAGCGACCAAGGTCAAGATTTTCCTATACAGACCGACCTAGCTCGGTTAATAAAATGTTTATTTTATGGCCAAACAAGAAAGCAAAGGATCGAACAAAAAAATAAATAACAAAAATTTATGAGAAGTGACCAAAAGTGCAACTGCAAGTGCAAGTAATGCCTGTTTGTGCCTCGATCGCTTAGCGATCAGTTCTCATTCAGCATTGCGATCTTCGACTGATCACCCCGGAAAACGTTGATGTTAACTGTGCAGCCTTCGAACTTGTCAATATGCGCTCCGGCAAAATTGCCTGAGGCTGGATTTGTTGGACTGTGAAGACATTTTGCTGTGTTGCTGTGGAGGTACTGACTTTTGTTTATTATTTGTTTATTTTTTCCTCCATTCATTTATTTTACAAGCCATTTATGTTGTATTACAAGATTTGAAGATGAAGATGCTATCTGGAGAATTAAATATCAGGTTAGAAGAATAAATGGAGAGGGCAGGTTATAGTTAAACCAATTACTTGCCCTTTGATTAAAATACAGTTTTATTTAGGTTAAAAGAGAAAAAAGAGAAAAGTATAAACCCTATAAACTATGAAAAATCTTCAAAAGAGAGGAAAAAAGAAAAGCACATACACACACACATAAAAAAATAAAACATTTGAGAGTCGGTGTGGCGATGATTAATACTGAGCAAGATAATAGCTGAAAAGTGCTTTTTTAAACAATTTTTTAGTTGTTTTTTCACGTATAGATAAAGGAATATCATTCCAATAATTGCATCCTATAACTGTTGGGCAGAATTTTCTTAAATTTATTCTAAAGCTAATGGGATTTAGGTGTTGCAGGGATGCACTTCTTATGTCATAATTATGTTGCTCAGATACCGAGGCCAGCGTGAAATTAGACGGCTTTTAATCTACAAAGTGATCATAAATCAGTTGCTGACATTGTTAAGCTAAATACCTGCCAAGCTTAATTAGACCAAGATTTATAATGAGGCGTAATATGATCACGAAGTGGAACGTTATTAGTAACTCTCACAACTTTGTTTTGAAGCTTTACTAATTGTGATACTGGAGCTTCGTAATTATTACCCCACAGAATGCAACCGTAGTTTAAATCAGGGTAGACAAGTGCATAGTAGATACTTATCAAAGACTGGGTTGTTACAATATTATTTATATAAACTAGGAAAAGAACCGGACGTAAGATCGACCCTTACGGTACTCCAGAATTTACTTCTAGGAAGTCAGATTCAACGCCATTAACAAACACTTTTTGCTTTTTTTTGTTTAGGTAAGACCTAAACCACTGATTTTCAATGTCTCGTATGCCATATACGTCAAGTTTTGATAATAATATAGAATTTTTGACTGTATCGAATGCTTTACTTAGGTCTAGAAATATGGAAATGGCATAATTTTCTTCGTCAAGGGCTTTCGTTATCTCATCTGTAGGATCTACCAAGCAGTCAACCGTGGTCATGCCAGATCTAAAGCCATATTGATTTGGTACCAAAATATCTTCATACGTGAGATAAAATGATAACTGGTTAAGAATGAATCTCTCAAAAATTTTACTTAATGCTGAAAGAACTGATATTGGGCGATAGTTATTGCATGAAGAACGAGAGCTTTGTTTAAAGACTGGTATAACTTTGGCAATTTTCAAGTTATCAGGAAATATGCCATGTTTAAGTGATAAATTTATTATATGTGTCAGCGGTCGAAATATTTCAAGCGCAGCAGAGGATAATAAAAGCGGGTGTACCTTATCATAGCCAAATGATTTCTTAGTGTCGATGCTTTCTAATAGCAGATAAACCTCGATTTCGTTTACTTGAGCAAAGCGAAAGGTTGATTTTTTCCTCCTCATATAGGTTGAGAAGTGGTGATCCGCTTTTGGCAGTTTAGAAGCAAGTTCAGTTGGAACATTGCAGAAGTACCTGTTAATAGCATTTGATATTGAAGATGGTTGCTGGAGATTTTTATCCTTAACTTTCAGATTGTCAATATTCGAGGATGGCCGCTTTTTATTGATTATAAGGTTAACATTATCCCAATTTTTTTTTTGTGGAGTCCTTAAGTACACTATCGTAGTATAAGGTTCGAAGGGCTATATTAATTGAAACAATCTTGTTTCGATAAATTTTATTTTGCTCATGATAATAAATATTTCGAGTCGTCAACCATTTTTATAGAGCTCGTTACGAATTTTGATTGATTTTCTCAATCCCTTCGTCACCCAGGGCTTGTTGGACTTATTTTTTATATTAATCGATTTAAGCGGGGCATGTGAATTGCTAATGCTATTAAAAATGTGAAAGAATCTAGTTAAGCTTTCATTCACATCATAGCTCTTGTATACTGGTGTCCAATTAGCATTCCTCAACGCTCTTTGAAAAGCAATCTTGTCAAACGTTTTAAAATCTCTAGTTTCAATTTTATTGGGAAAGGGACTTAGTGTAGGGTCATACGAAAGAGCAAAGACTGGTAGATGATCACCTATTTCTATAGCAATGCTACCACTAGTACTTGAAGACCCAAAGTTAGAAAGAATGTACTGACTTGGTTTTCTTCGGACTGAGCGGATATACCTGGCTCACAATTCAGAATAGCAGACATTTCTCCCTGCCGCTTCAGAGATGCTGAATGGTAGCTGTTGAGGCTTCTCAAATTTTTGTGACCGCTTAGCTGTGCTTGCAACGAACTTTGGCTGAACGTCTGCTTCGAGAAGTCGTCCAGCACTGGTCTCTCTAACGGAGTGATTAGAAACCTTCTTCTAGTTTGTCATCGAGTTTGGCTGCAGCAAACGCGTCTTTGTACCCGGCTAGTACTCAGTGCCATTTTGTTTACGAAAGGAGATGAAAAATTTGGACAAAAGAAGGTCGAGCTTATTGGCAGGTATGTTTTCAATTGCTCTAGACTCTTTCAGGGACTCACAAAATTTCTTCCATGCGTTTAAATCGCTCTTAGTCTTGTACTGAGTGTTTTTTGATTTCTGCTCCTGCAAGAAGTTCTCAATTTCGACTTCATGTTTGCTCGTAGCTTCCTCGGCAGGACTCAAATTTGCCAACGCGTGCTCGTTTTCTTTACCTGCTTTCTCTTTAAGGTCCACTGATTCTTCCATTTAGTATTATTAACAAGAACAATCCGTTGTCATATTTTTTCTTTGTAACTTTTTGAGGACAACTGTTACAACAAGATCGGAAAAGATTCCGGTCTAGATGGGAAAATCTAGACCACGGTCAAGATCGATTTTAGCCAATCAAATTCTTGAATTTGTTTGTTTCCCGTCCTTTTGGGATATGGCCATATAATAACTTACAATATTGATTATCTATATTAGTATTATTTCCGCATAGAGTATGTTTAAGATCAAAGGTTTTCCTATCTTAGTAGTAATCCACGTCATCAAGTTTTTGGTCACTGCACCAAGGACCCCGATAACAATTGGAACAACAAATATTATTATTATGTCGCAGTATGAAACTTTGGTATGCTGTCCACATTATGAGTAGTATAGGGCGCATAGCGTAACCTACACCACTTGAGAAGCTATACTTAGAAGTAAAAAAAGGTCGATACGAAACCTAATACAATCCTAAAATACATAGTGATATGAATCTCTCTACTTAAAAAGCCAATTTAGAATATTATTAAATTCTGATACTCTGTAAAACCTTCGCTATCTCTACTAAAAACATATTTATAATAATATCACACTCTAATGTTCTAAAAAATCTATGTAAAAACGTCAGCAAGCTTGTGTTTCTATATTTCTAGAGAAAAAACAAAAACCTAAGAACTGAAGTCCATAGCGCCCTAACTATGTATTTATCTTAAATGTTCTGGCAATGTTTAAAGTGTTTGAGATGACCGACTTCTGCATCCGCTCAAGTACGCTCCGTGCTCTCGCTCCAAGTAGCTTCCTCACCGACTTCTCTAGGTGTTTAGAGTAACCCCCCAGTATGTAAATTATTACGTTGTACTGTTCAACCCTGTAACCATTGTATCTCTGCTTCAGCTCCCACATCATGGGCCCATACTTGAGTGTCTTTTCCTCATCTTTCTTAGCTCTACTCTCAATCCATGGGCAGCTCATTTCAATTGTGCAGACTTCTTTCCTCTCGTGGTTGACAAGTCACGCGTCGATCCGATTTGCTCTAACTTCGTTGTGCTCTGCATAGATGGGAATATCCCAAAACGCCTCACTCGTGGTGTTCTGGTAGGCTGGTTTTGGCATCACCGGTGAGTACCATGGTGGAACCTCTTCCATTAACCCATGCTCTCGTAGGAGCTCAAAAAACAGAATCTTCAAAGCTGCATTATGCCTGAATAGGTACTTGGTTTGTGCCAGGGAGGAACATCCAGCCAGTACATGTGCAACGCTCTCAGCTACCTTCCAACATAACCTGCATAGAACTTCGCCGTCGGTGGAGGTTTGCGTCTTCTCCTTTGTGTAGAGCTTCGTCGGTAACAACTGCTCATACAATTCATACATGCCCGCGATGGTATGTGTAGGGCATGTAGCCCAACCTTTTAACCATGCAAAGCAGCTGGTTATGCTTAGGCTCTCATCTTCCCATCTGATACGGAATAACTTTCCTTGCCACTTTTTGCCTTTAGCGATCTCCAAGAACTGCTTCTCTTGAGATTGCTTCAACAGATTCCCAGCTCTTGCTGCAGTTACCACCTTTCCTTCTGTTGTAACACCCACGGGATTTAGGGTATCAAGCTGAAGTGTGATGTTGAGTTCTTCAGCGTACTTAGCTGCTTCCTTTACGAGCGACTGGTGGCTTCTCAAGTGGTGTAAGTTAAGTTATGCGCCCTATACTACTCATAATGTGGACAGCATTCCAAAGTTTTATACTGCGAGGTAATAATAATAATAATAATAAAAGAGCGACAAGAATTACCCCGAGTGGCTTTCTGAAGGGAAAACGTCCCTCATTCTGAAAGAAGGCGTGTTCCTGAGCGAAAATAAAAGACCTATAACTTGTCTGAATAACATGCATAAGTGGTTTACATCTTGTCTCCTGGCACACATGGACCAACACCTTGAACATTGTGGCGTGATGGAAGGCCAACGAAGAGGAGCTAAATCAGGATGTTTTGGTACGATGGATAACTTGCTAATCGATAGACCAGTAATGCTGGATTGCCTGAGAGGCAAACGGAATTTAAGCATGGCATGGATTGACGTGCACAAAGCCTACAACTCCGTCGACCATGATTTGCTATGCGCAATGACTGACGTACACAGGCTTCCCATCTCGCTGGGTAAGGTCATACGCAAGTTGTGTGCGAGGTGGAATACTAGAGTAGTAGCTACAACAAGGCAAGGGCAAGAGACTTCTAGAAAAATAAGGTTCATGAAGAGACTACCCTAGGGGGACGCTCTGTATCCTGGATTGTTTACACTGTGCCTGAACCCAGTAGCGTGGCGCCTGTGGGCAACGGAGGGATACCGGCTATCCAAGAGTATAGGAGTCACAGTCACCAATCTCATGTATATCGACGACCTGAAGGTTTTTGCTGCCTCCGAGGGCATGCTGAACCGAGTGCTGAAGGAGACTAGAGGAGCGATGCAGGATAACGGTCTCCACTGGAATCAGAAAAAGTGTTCAGTAGTACAGTTGAAGAGGGGAGCCCAAGTGCTAGACTAGTCTGGTATGAGTATGAACGAGACAACTACCATCACGGCTCTTGGGGAAGGAAAACACTACAGATTCCTGGGGGTGCTAGAGAACGTTCGGCAGGATGAACGGCTGGCCCTAACGTGTGCGGCTAAAGAGTATTTACGCAGGATATCTATTATATGGTCCAGCCCTCTGTCTGACTGCCACCTTGTACAGGCAACTAATCAGTATGCACTCCTGGTGCTGCGGTACTTAATGTGGACACAGCATTGGCCTCTATCAGAGTTAAGAGATATGGACAGAGTAGCTCGGAAGATCATAGTTGAGAACGGTGGAAAGCACCCAGTTAGCCCAACTTCCTAGTTATATCTACCGAGGGAGAAAGAGGGTAGAGACCTGCGATCAGTCGAACACGAGTACAAGATCACTAAAATCAATCGCTCCCGAAATTGTATCAGAATTCGGACCAGACTGTGGAAACAGTGAGTAAGTGCGGTAAGCTGGCGCTGACGAATGTAAAGGAAGGCAGGACAATTTTTTTTTTTTAGATCTTTAATTGTAAGGCGCAATTGAAAACTGTATAGTTGAATTTGCGCGGTATAAATAAATGTTATTATTATTACTATTATTATTATTATTATTATTATTATTATTATTATAACGTGTCACGGTGTATCCACTGGCAACTATGTGGTGAATGTGGATTGGAAACAGCTAATAGCTGGTATGAACAGAAGCCAGAGGGAGTGGTGGAAAGTGAAAACTTCAAGATACTGTGGGATTTCACTGTACAATGTGATCGGAAAATTGAAGCAAGAAGAGCAGACATTGTCCTTATTGATAAGAAGGAGAGAGAGGTTGTCATAATTGATGTTGCCATCCCAGGTGATGACGGGGTGAAAGATAGG